CGTGTTATTCTATCTTTCTTCTTGTAATATACATGCCCCATGACTTATTTAATACTTTTCCAACAGTTATTAACGGACAAGAATATTTATTCATAGAGGGTAGACGGATTTCGATCGAATTAGAAGAGATGGGTAAACAAACAAAAAAAAATACTCTAACATTAACTATCCTGGATTGTTGGAAAATCATACATTGGTATTAGATCGGTATAATGTTTCTCGCTTTAAGCACAAATGTTTCGTGAATGGAACGTATGAAATTTTTTATCGGAGTCGTATACACTCGGAGACCTCATTGTTAGAACATTATAAAAGGATGGCAATGTACTCAGTTCCTCGCAATTTGTTAATTGTTTTGCAAACAGCATCTGGATGAAGGACCGTCGCGACTGAATAAGCTTCGTAACGATAATTTAATGGTAATCGATTACTCTGTTGCGTAAGAGTGTTGTTTATAGTCGGGTTCAAACTCAGTTGGTAACTCAGGTCCATTATTCCCACCGTGAATCATCGTTATTCTATCGCTACTTCAACAATTGTACTATGTTAACGATAGCCAATCATTCGGTGGGAATAACCACTAAAACCTTGTAATCAGAATTTTCGACCGTTGGTTCAGAACAGAAACAGATTCTACGAGTGGTCTCGAGTGACGAAATTGATTTTGTCTCGACTATAAGTCTGAAAGTATAGTAGGCAGCTGTATAAGTATGTAGCGTATTTATAAGCGTGCAGTCCGTTTATAACTTCGATATAGCATATAACACAATTGTATATGGCTCTAATCAGTACCTAACTTATCCTGACGATTTCATCGACCCGCGTATGTTTGCGTTACGAAGTTGTTTCCGGCGCTCGTGAACACTTCCGCGTCCGACATTGATCTACGATCGTATGTCGACCTTGTCTTTTGCTTGATGCTTCTTGCGTCTCCACGATTATCGATACCCTCCCCACTTCGTTTCACCCAGTTTATAAGCAGCATCGTGTATTACCCCCCCGAGTGTGGTGTGCCTGTGTACGTGAGAGTGTATCTGACATAACAGTTACTTCGTTATTGTCCCGTGTAATCCAGCATGTAACGAATTACACAAACCACGGCGTTATAGTCTTCTGAATGTGAGACCAGTGCGTTGAATGCGTTTATTTTTTACTCATGATTCAAATCTATTTCTAGATCGTAAGAAATTTAATATATATATACACCACATATATATTGAATAACAGATTACATGGTAACCATGATACCGAGAGCGACTTAATCGATTATTATTATTATTATTATTATTATTATTCTT